AATTAAATTTGCTAAGGTCCGCAGTAAATAAGAATAGGGAGGCACGGAATTAACACGCAAATCATTCCTTTGCGTGCACTTTTCACCAGCTGTCTCTGTAAGATCTTAGGCAGAGAGTGGAGAAAGCCGGTTTTCATTATCAAACGGTATGCACGCACAGGTGTTCATAAGGAGCAGGTCCTTGTAACCCTTATTTTTTCAAGGATGCTTGTGAGAGGAGAGCCCTTCTTCTCTAACTGTGTTGACAGTTTAGAAACGTGTGCTATCTTGGACTTGCCTCCTCAGATAAGTTCATAACATCCGGCGGACCCCAAGTTTTAACTGAAATATTTTCCTAGAGGCGTTGTTATTCTCTTGATTGGTTTAGCCTTCTCAGCGTTAGTTTCTCAACGGTAAAATGGGAATAAAGGTTACAGGGTTATTCCTATAATTACATCACTGTAATAGCAACCCTGCCCACTGAAACATTCACTTTAGGAATGCTTTCTTGAACATGGACTCAAACAAAAAAATTATCCAACCAACAGCATCTTATGAAACTGAAGCCAAAAGAGCCATAAGTCTGTAACGATTATGCAACGGTGGTGCATTTCCTACAAAGTGGGTGTAAAGACAACTAGACAAGTTGATTAGAAAGGAGCCCAGGCGTACAGTAACAGGCAGATAACAGACCGCCCCACCCCACCCCACCCCACCCCACCCTGGCGCCTAGAATTTCTGTTTATCTCCTCACATTGGGGGAGGTTTGGGGAGACAGGAAAGATGCTTGGGGACCACATCTATGAAGCCAGCCCTCTAGAAAGACTTGAATTGAAACCTCTATTCCACAGTAAACTAATTGAAACAAAATTTCACAATAATCCCATTTCCTGTAAAAATGCACTCAAGGGGCCTGCAGAAATAGCCAGTTTAGCATTTTAATATTGGAAGGCATCTCTGAAGTTTGGGGAATGGCTATCTCTTCCCTTACTGCCCGTTCTCAGTATAGTCTTTTATATAATTTTTAATTTTTTTTCAATTACAGTTGGTACACAATGTTATATCATTTTCAGGTGTGCTACATAATGATTAGACATTTACATGCCTTACAGAGTAATCCAGCACCCCATAAGTAGTACCTGCCTGGCCCCATCCACAGTTGTTGCAATACCATTGACTGTATTCCTGGTGCTGCCCTTGAACTTGCAGAAGCTCATCACTGTGAAATGCATGGGCCGTCTGTGATGGAGCGGGAACTTGGTATGGGCTCATTGAGTGTGGTCACTTCTGGGCTCAAGGGCCACTGGCATCTTTACTCCTTTCCCTTCCCTGAACTTGACAGTTTGGAGTGGACCTACACATGTGTGGGCACCCACAGAAAGGTCTCTGTAATGTGAATGATGGTGGGTCACTGGATAGCCAGGAGCATCTCCTGCACTGCTCACCACCCATCCTGGTGACAGACACCTGGTGGGACGAATGAGAAAGGGGACCAGCCAGCACCTAGGGCCCTCTCCCCACCCCTCACCAGCTCCCACATGGATCTCATTCTCACCAGCTCAGTGAGGAAGGTTTTGTTACTTCTACTGTATAGGAAACTGAGGCTCAGACAGGTGAGTCACTTGCCCTAGGTCATAGGCAGGAACTTGGATTGGAACCTAGGCCTCAATTGCCCTGTTTGCACTTTAGAATGATCTGTACTTGAACTTGCAGATAGAAGCTAAAATGAAGCATGTGCAGTAGAAGCATGGCAGGCAGCCCATGCATTTCACAGTGATGAGCTTCTGCAAGTTCAAGTACAGCACTTGGAAGAGTTAGAACGTCCCTGGTTAAAATACGTAGAAGCCATTTCCCCGCCATACCTCCACCATGTCAGCTGCCATATTCTCAGGCGCTCACATGCACGAGGGATGTGCTGATTTCTCAGGGTCTCCACCAAGAAAATAGGCAGAAATCTCAGAGCGGTGGGAGCATATTATAGAAATGAAGCCACACTGTTAGGTTGGATGGCTCTTCCATCAATCTTGAGGCTTCTATTGCACACGCTTCATTTTAGCTTCTAGCTAGCTGACACACATTGTGGATGATCCTGTCAGCATGGAAATTTTCACTAATCCAGTGCCTATTCGGAAATCTCATCTAGAATTGAATTTCTGCCTTAGGACAGTGTCCTGATATAACCTAAAAGTCCTTCCCACTTCCCACGTGTTCATTGTGCATTATTTCACCCAAAGCTTCTGAAACTACCCAGGAATGCTTCAGAGTCAGCCTGGCTTCCATGCGGCATTCCACATGTTTACCACGTTTTCCTCTTGCTCCCTCGTTTTGATGAATTGCAACAGTGAGATGAAATGAAGATGACCCCCATCTTCCGGCTCTCTGGTTTGCAGATGGTTCTTCTCATAGATTATAGAGCCCAGCTGCTGATGCGGAGTTCTCAGCACAGCCACAGCGAGGAACTCGGCCTTCCCAACCCCTCCCACCCGCAGTCAGACTGAGTGCAGAGTGCAGGCGACTGCCTGTCCACGCCATCTTCTCCCCGCTGGGCCACCGATGCAGGCCCAGTGCCCATCGAGGGTGCTCAGAGGCCGTCTTCTCACTGATGAGGGCCTGCCACACATCGCATGTTAACTTTGCTTTTCTTGTCTGACTTGTATGTAAATTGTGTGTGTAAGGCTAGACTCTAACTGCTCTAAATGGTACTTCAGTCTGTTCTATTTGTGTCCAAGAGCCACGAGTTTTTTAAATGTTGATTACAGTTCCGCCCAAGGGTAGCCTAAGGTTTTGCTCTGAAACATAAGGAGGATTTGATCAGAGATGGTGAAAGAATGATTAATTCTCTTCCAGGAGCCAAGGAAGCGTCTCCAGCTAGATTTCAGCTGTGCTTCAGAGACCCTTCACCCCACAACACTCCCCCTTAGTCCACAAGCAATCCCCAAATAGTCACTTGTCCTGCATGAGGCTTGTTCCCTGGAGGAAGGAGCGTTAGGTTGGGGTTACCTGATGCCAGCGAGGGAAAGGAAAAGATGGGGCGAGGGTCAACGGAAATGGAGATGGCCGAGGCAGGGGACTGCGGATAGAGGACGTGAGCTGGAGATGCTGGCAAGGTGAAAACAAATATGGTTGCAATGGGAGAGCCCCGAAAGGCCAAGCTGTCAATGTTAATGAAGTTAACGATTTTTCCTGTGCTTAGTTTAGAATAGACCAATTCTTATTCCTTAAACAGGGAGATAGACCCGCAAATGGTTGGGGCACTGCCATTTCATGTATTCAATATGGATTACAAGTTCTTAACATTTAGTTAGAACCCTGCATGGAATCAAAGAGCAACAGTTATTGTCCACGCACGCATGCTCTCTGACTACCGCTTGGACCCCATGAGGACAGCACAATGTCTGTCTTCCCATTTCCGTACCCATTCCTATCAAGGAAAGGAGTATATGTGACCCCAAACCTCAGTCTCTTCAGTGACATCACCCCAAAAAGATGTTTCTGTCTAAATAAATGGGGAAGGTAGATGGTGGACTCTCATTTCATACTGGAATGATCCGAAAAGCTGTACTTGCATTTTTAAAATCATACACTGTAAAGCATTGTTTGTTTGTTTTTTTCACTCTCCTTGTGAAACATGAGGGATTCATATGATTCTTCAAAGCTAGTGCATTTGTCACCACTAGAACCATGTCTTTGATTTACGGGCACATTCTCACTGCTTTCATCTGAGTCGTTTGAAGTCCAGCACTCTAAAACGCCCCCTGCGCAGGCTCTCTCTGCAGACGTCTCCGGCCCGGCGCGCATCTCCACACTGTAGAGGGGTGGCTGTGTGGTTCCTCCTGTGCCAGCTCGTGGACCCCCACACCCTGGGAGGTGAACTGTCAGGTGTCCTGGGTCCTTTCTCTTCAGTCTTGAGGACCATCCGTGTGCCCACTGAGGTCCTTCTGAAAAGAGCATCCACATCCTTCATTGGTATCGACGAGGCCCGAGGGCTGCGGCACCTTTGGGAAAATACAAATGCCAGCAGGCAGCTCGCTCTTTTCCGAAGAAGACAGCCTCCAGGGGACGCGCTGCCTTGCATTCAGACACGGACATTTTAGAAACCCCCCCTCCCCATTTTTTAGGAAAGGATTCATGCTTGTGTCCTTGGGAGGAAAACTGTTCTGCGTTCTGCAGGAGGTGGGGACCCACGTGTCCTTTTTTTTTTTTTTTTTTTTTTTTTTTAAAGAATGCATCATGGAAAGCTACAGGTGTAACTGCCCACAAAGCCCTCGCTGCACCAGGTGGGCAGGGGTGTGGACGGAGCTTGACGTTAGTGACGGTACAGGGATGCGGTGGGACCCAAAGTGTGTTGGAATGGGTTTAGGCTAAATTATTCAGTTTTGTGCCCTGTTTTTTTTGTGTGTGTGTGTGTTTGTTTTTTTTTGGGGGGGGGTGGGGGGAGGCCTGTAAATTTGCTGTTAGTGTTTGGGTTAGGAAATAGGAACAAGAAATACAAACTTTAAAAAAAAAAAAAATCCAATTTTATCTCCCCTGGAAATTCTGCAGATTCTTGGCATACTTCTCTGATAAGCTGCCTGATCTTGAGGTTTCTGTGCAGACAACTCCCTGGGCAGCGAGCACGGACTCATTACCTCTCACTTGTGGGCACCTCTGTGCATCTCAGTCATTTCCCGACGTGGCCCCCGCTTGTGAGCTGTGATCCCCTCTGTACGATGTGTCTGTGTAGAAACAGCTCCCAAGATTGCTGGGGATGGCCTGATCATTTTACCGATGAGGGAACACCCCGGCATGTATTTGTCACGGAACAACACTGAGATCGGCAGCTCCCTATATTCTAGCCATTTCTGAGGGACCACTAATAAGATGTTCCTTGTGTCTTGAGTTTGGGGTTTTAGTTTTCTCTCTTCGGGAAGGGATACAGCGCATCTCACAGGCATGCTGTCCTGATGAAAAACAACACGAGAATTCTAAACGTGCCAGCTGTAGGCTAATTCCTTCTCTTTTCCTTCCAGCCTCGGTGCGGGATGGGGAACCACGCGGGGAAGCGGGAGATCTTCACTGAGAAAGCCCAGAAGGTAAGGATGAGGGGCTCAGAGACCCTGGGGGTGCTGTGGCTCCAGCTTTCTGCTAACACCAGTAGACTGTTCCCCAGTAGCTCGGCCGCCGCTACAGCCCCAGATCTGGGCCTGGACTCCAGACCACCATGGAGTCCAGTGCTGGGGCCTCTGCAGCCCTGCCCAGCCTCCTTACTGTGGAATGTTTTCAAAATGCAGCCAGACAGGAAATGTGGAAATAAACTCCATCTGAATCCTTCTAAGCTGCCGGAATTCATCTTTGCATTTCCAGCACAGCCCTCGCCATTTCCCACCTGTTTCACAGGCATTAATCAGCTCCTCCACTTGGTTCTGATTCTTGGCTTTGGCCTGGGTTCCTGGGAGTGTCAGCAGAGAGTGGCTCCCAGCCCTCTGCCTGCTGAGCCAGGCAGGTACTGTCCACACCCACTGCTGGGATAGGAGCACCAGTGGGACTGAGACCCAGGCCCTTCCCAACCCCAAATCCAGCATCGCTGTTCTCTCCTGCTTCACTCTCCTCCTGCACTTCCTGCTAAAACCAGCTACTGTCATGGTAACGATGTCACAGAATGGAAAGCAGAGTCACTGAGAAATGGAAATCTTCCGGTTCCCTAGACTTCAGCCTGGGGCATCATGTGATAGAGCCATGGTTCCTTTGAGCCCCAAATTCACCCCAAAATTGGACATTTCTGAGTTGATTGCAGTGCGTTGGCAGTTGTTGGAGACCTGTCTGTATAATTTCTTAGGCAAGTCCTGTAAACAAGTTTGTTTTTTTTTATTTGAGAACTCAGGTAATTCGTAGGTTAATCATATAATCTATACTTAAGAGCTTAAGGAACTGAAATGTAGAAAGCATTTCCCGACAGACATGTACTGACCTCCTCTGACACTCAGCAGCACAGAACCATCTAGACAACGAGGCGAGTTCTTAGTCTGCGAGGTGCACACAGACTTCCCATTGTACCGACAAGAGTCTCAGGTTCACTCTCCTTTCCTCCTGTTATCTCTCTGTCTATCTCTACCTCCACCTCCATCTCCCTCACACACACCCCTAAGGGGTTCCTCTCGACTTCAGTTGCAAAACAGGAGACTGTCTTTCACGAGCACCCTGTGCAGTAAGAGGGCACCGCCGTGTTCTGCCAACCCCCACCTTCCACCCACCCCAGGCAGACATGGCTGCAGTGGATCTGTTCTAGTGGGAATGTTCTGTCTTTGTCACCCGATGCGTAGTCATTAGACACACCTGGCAGGAAGCACACGGTGTGTGGCTGGTCCACCTGAGGAACCACACTCTCAGTGCTATTTATTTTCAATGACTTCTATTTAAATAGCTATATGTTCAAGGGACTTCTGGGGCCCCACCAGATACACATCACCCCTAAGGTGCCCAGAACCCTGCTTTTCAAGTAAAGTAAACAGTGTGAAATCTTTAGCTATTCTCTTCTACTTTCTGACAGTTTTAGTCTTTTTGAAAAGAGGTTTGTTGCAATATATTTCAAAGGTAAATAGGACGTGGTGTTTGGAGAAGACCCCAGGAGCGTTAACACTTCCTTCCCAACAGCCATAGGCCCTTCTCGTTTCACCGCTGGGATACAAAGCACTTGGTTCCTCTGTTTAGGTACACGGAGTCACGTGCCTTTTAATCATCGCCTCGGTGTTTAAAAGAAAATCAACCTTGCGACTTTAAGTTTCTCTTCGTGGGTTTGTAACAACATGGTAAAGTCTGAGAAACCGGGGGTGAGTGTTAAGTCACAATCCCTGCAGCACTTGACGCAGGAGGGTCGTTTCCTGAGAACCACAGGGAACCCATTTGGACGCACCTCACATGTGTCACTGAGTCGTCCTGTGACCTGGCGGGTTGTGTTGCCTGCTCCATAGCAGGTTTTTCAAAATATAAAAATATTCTGAAGCTTCTATCTTCTCATAACTATGATCTGAGTTACTTGTATTGTCAGTTATGAAACCAGGGGGAAGGTCTGTGGCCTGAAAAGCAGAATTTCTCCTGCAAGTAAGTGCGTTTGTAGGAATATCATGTTCTCGTTCTTGATGAAGTGAAGAATGGATCTCATTAATCTTGCTGACCGGCGTCTGTCTGCACCTGTGGGTACGAAATGCTTGGATGCATTTGGCTGGTTATTAAACTTCAGGTAGCTGGTTTTGATGCTGGCAGAGTGGAAACAGGCTTTCGCCTGATTCGGTTCTGCAGCTCCCAGAGCGAGTCGGGCAAGTTTCTGTCCGAGGCTTTCCCGCTTCCATCAGAGCAGTAGCGGGGCTCAGCTTTGAAGAAGGGCATCTGCACAGACCAGGGACCATTCCTTCTGCAAGGCAAGTGTGTCCCTAAATTTAGAACGAGGAAACCAAAAGGCAGGTGCAATTAGAGTTCTACAAAATTCTTCTCTTCTACTTCTTAACCTCACTGCATTGGTATACACATTAAACCCTGTTTTTATTTAAGAAGCTTTCCCCCCCACTTTCTCTAAAATATAGAAAAATGTCAAAAGATGGATAGTAGTGAAGTAAGTAATGATGATGCCTGGCTTTGACTCTGACCATGTGTAAAGTGGGGACCCTGTTCCCCACTTTACACATGGTCACTCATCTATAGTCACAGAGCCTTTGGGCAGAGACTTCATGTAGCCAAGGACACTTCCTGTGTCCTCTGACACCATACACACAGGTGGAGGAAGGAGTCCCAGTGTTGAAATCTCAGCTCTGTGAGATTCATACTTTTCTTCTGGGGTCCTCAGTGTTGAGTAGCAAGCATTTTCTCAGCCTTTATTTATAAATCCATTCACGTTCATCACTCTGGCCAGAAGTAGAATTAACCAGTCTAGCCATCAGAGAGAAGAGTCAAAGTCTTCCAAAGTTTTAATTTCCCACATTTCAAAAGCCAGTCCTGGGCCTTGGCACTGAGCCTCATGCAGGCTCCACAGAGGTCTGCCCGCCAGCATGGGCGGGAAGGATCCTGATCTTCCATGTCATTGCCCCCCAGGGACCCATGCCCAGCCAAAAGCCACTGGGTCATGGCTGTTGAGTGCAGATGTTGCTGTTTTTAATGGCTTTTATTGAAATAGTACTCACATAACATAAGATGTACTCATTTACAATGTTTAAATCCATGTGGGTTTTTTGGCAGATTCATAGAATTATGCAACCATCACAGCAATCTAATTTTATAACATTTGTTCATCCCTCCGAGAAACCCTCCTGCCCACCCCCTACCCCACCCGACTCTCCAGCCTGACACAACCACTGGTGTGCTTGCAGTCTGTATAGACTTGCCTGTTTTGGACACTTCATATATGGGTAACCGTGCACATATATGATTTTTTTGTGTGTCTGGCTTCTTTCCTGGAGCATCATGTTCTCAGTGTTCATCCACACTGTAGCACACGACATTGCTGAGTAACATTCCATCCTAGGAATTTACCCACTCATCACTAGGTGGACATTTGAGTTGTTTCGACCTATTAGTATTATGAAGAATGCTGCTAACAACATCCATGGGTAATGTTTTGTGTGGACATATGTTTTCATTTCTCTTGGGCATATACCTGGGGATGGATTGGATGAGTCACATGGTACTTCTAGGCTGAACTTTGAGGGCCACCATACTGCTTCCACAATGGTCCTCCACCATACTGGCTGATGAGTGTTTTGACTTCCACACATCCTCGCCTGTAATAATTATTACTGTCTTTTTTTATTGTATCTACCATAGTGGTGTGAAGTGGGACCCCAGCCTGGTTCCATTTGCCTTTTCTTAACGGATAACAATGTTGAGCATCTGTTACTTGCTTCCTGCCCATTTGTGTATCTTCTTTGGAGACATGTCTGTTCAGATTCTTGCCCATGCTTTGAATTGGGCGGTTTGTTTTTCTTTGTTGAGTTGTAGGAGCACTTTATATATGCCGGACACTGGTCCTTTATCGGGCCCACAATCTGCAAACATTTCCTCCGGTTCTCTGAGCGGGGGTTTCGTGCTCTTGGTGGTGTCCATTGAAGCTGGATGGTTTCTGAGTTTGAAGTCCAGCCTCCCAGAATGTCTTCTGTTGCTTGTGCTTTAAGAGCATATCTAAGGCTCACATCTGAGAAACCATTACGGAGGCAGCACTGGTTTTCATGACTCAATTCCATCTGATTCTCACCCTCAGTCAGTCTCTAATCCTTGTCATGCCATCCCTGCTCTCCAGTTGTTCTTTTAAAAGTAGCGTTTTGATGACTTATATGTGTCTTTATGGAAAGTACACAAATAAGAGGATTTGTAGGTTTTGCTTCCTTTCTGATGCTTCCCTTTGTCTAGACCAGTGGCTCTCAACCAGGGTGCCCCTTCCCAATCCGGGTGGGGTATTTGCCAGGATCCAGTTGTCACAGCAGCAGGGTGCCCCAAGCCTCCTATGGCAGAGATCAAAGATGCTGCTCAACATCCCACAACACACAGGACAGCCTACGCCACGACCAGGACTGACCCAGCCCAGAACTTCACCAATGTCTCGGTTGCACAGGTCACGGCTGCCCATGCACGGATGTCCCCGTCCTGCCCTGACCCTGTGTGAGGGGAGACATGGCTTCACAATGAGCCCGTTCACATGATCCCAGTCTTCATGTCTCTTCATGTTCTTTACTTTGATCCCGAAAGCTTTCAGTGTTTTGCTAGAATCCTTTGTTACTTATCCAAACCCAGCTTACAGCAAGAATAATTGTTTTTTAAGAAACAAACCAAAAATGCTGAGTAATAAGCTCTACATTGTAAGAAGAGTTTTTATTATTATCCCCTTCCCCTCCCCCCCACACATACACAGTTGAGGGACTGAAATTTGACCCCAAACACAGGCCATGCAAAAGGAGGGTGACCCTGCCCCCTGCATCCCAGAAAGGGTCCCCGACTCACCGGATCTTCTCCCTTGGGACCCCTGATGCTTAGAACAGTGGGAAGAGCATCTCCCAAGGCCGTTCAGTCCAGCTGGGATCTTTGGTTTGAGCTAATTTGATTTCCTCTGGATCCAATGGAAGCAAGTCCTCCCTGAGACCAGACTCTCACCTGGCTGTGATGGACATCCAGCCGGCTGCCTGGGGGCTCTGAGTGCCTCTTTGCAGATAACATTTATCACCTGACCATACCAGAGGAGGCATTTGAAAGGCACTATTGTTTTGTGTGTTTTTGTTTGTTTGTTTGTTTGTTTGTTTTTTGTTTTTGTTTTTAAGAAATGCAGGAACGGAAACCAGTTTGGCTCAGTGGATAGGCTCAGTGGATAGAGCGTCGGTCTGCGGACTGAAAGGTCCCACGTTCGATTCAGGTCAAGGGCATGTGCATTGGTTGTGGGCACATCCCCAGTAGGTTGTATGCAGGAGGCAGCTGATCGATGTTTCTCTCTCATCGATGTTTCTAGCTCTCTATCCCTCCCTCCCTCCCTTCCTCTCTGTAAAAAATCAATAAAATAAAAAAATAAAAAAGAAATGCAGGAAATATACACTCCTCTATTTAGAGAGAATTTACAAACCCTTCCAACACAGAAGTCAACAAGTTCCATCCCATGGTTTCCTGTTCAGGTCGGTGCACGGAACCAGTGAAGATGACAAAGGCTGTGAGCTCAGCTTGCACCCAAGATGCACAGGAAGGAGAAGCCTCAGGCCCCAGGGAGAAGTCGTGGGGTGGAACAGGCCTGCACTGCACTCTGGGTAGTGACAGGAGGGGCACCAGGCAGACATGAGGAGGGGGGATGGGGCGGACACCAAACACATGGTGGGGTTTGAACACTGTGCTACTCCAGGGCTCATTCTCTAAGCAAAGAATAGATCAACCAAACAAGACATGTTCATCACACAGGAATGAAAACCGTTGAGTAAAAAGTACGGGGGATGCAGCAAACTACTTCATTTATAGTGATTATTGTGCCAATGCTATTGAATAATACATTTCATCTCTAGTAGAAAATATTTTTAAAACTACCTTAATTATAAGAATTTTTTCTCATTGCATCTCCCCCTAAAATGATTATGGAAAAGTAAATGGACTCTCACTAGGCCAGCCCTCACATACTTAGGCTGATAAAAGGGAAAATTGGCACAAACATTTTAAAGAGAAAAAAACGTAATGGTTTCGAATGAATTTACCTAGTAGACATTGGCAGCCACAGACACATTTGGGAATGAGGACACTTGGGACAGTGACACTCTGGAGGTTCCTGAGTTATGGAGTTGGCCCTTCAGTTGTGTACCTGAGTGTTTACGACTTGTGGGAAGCTTTTATTTCTTTATCAGGAAAATTCCATTGCATTTGACACTCATCATCTTGATGTTCTTTGTTTTGCTTGTAGACATTTTGCTTATTAAAAATGTGTTAGTCATAAGGATATTTTTATGTTCGTGGGATAACAACAGTGTCAGGTCTCAGGAACAAGTTTCTTGTTTGAACAGAAATTAGTCACTAGATTTCCGAGGGCAACACGTACTTCCCCTATCCCCACCGTGCGCACGTCACTGATTCTGAGGGGTAAGACCCAAGGTGGCGGTGAAGCTTGAGATCCTGCCCCTCACCTCCACTCTGGGCCCCGCCTGAGGCTGCTCTAGGCTAGGTGGATGCTGTGTGGCTACAGGACAGACGTCCGTACAGGGCGGGGTCAGATGCAGGTGCCTCTGCCTCTCCCGCCTGAGCCATGAACCTGGGAAGCTGGCACCACATGACCAACCTTCATCCTTTGCTTTAACTTTGAACCTAAAATGCCCTCCCCACATTACTTACCACTGAGGAGGAAAAACACTCCCAGTTCTCACTGGAAGACCCAATAGTTTGAAAGAGGTGACCTGGTAGATGCTAAAGCACAAAAAATTACATCCACAGTGGAATCCACATATAGCTACATGATAATTATTAATTAGCCCTCAAATAAAACTATTGTTTTGTATTTAGTGAAGAATATGACTGATATCAGCAAAGAAGCCAGATGTGAAACAAATACATGTGAAACAATGTATAGAAAGAAACTATGAGGAAATTCTGTTCCCAGTTGCACTCTCTTCTAAAATTAAACAGGTAGATAAGAAACCATGTCTCTTAGCCCACCTTTGGTGCCCACTGTCAAAACAGAAATTGTCTATTTTGAACTACTCCTAAATAAGATAAAACTGAACAGTTTTCTCGCCAGCACATGCTGGGTGCTAGACACTGTGAGGTTTGGGGATTGAAAAGATCCCCATTCTTTTTTTTCTTTTTTAAATTGATTTTTTACAGAGAGAAGGAGAGAGGAATAGAAAGTTAGAAACATTGATGAGAGAGAAACATCGATCAGCTGCCTCTTGCACACCCCCCATTGGGGATGTGCCTGCAACGAAGGTGCATGCCCTTGACCAGAATTGAACCCGGGACCCTTAAATCCACAGGCCAACGCTCTGTCCACTGAGCCAAACAGGTTTTGGCAAGATCCTCATTCTTAGCAAACATTCAGTGTCACAGGGAGAAAGGAATAAAGAAACAGGGTGTCTGTGACCATGTCTGATCTCCAGGGTAGGGGGTCAGGAAAGACACTGTGCACAGGAAAGCCACTGAGGGGACCTGGCCAGATGGGGTCAGAGTTCCCAGACTTCTGCCTTCTCCAGGCTCCAGAGGCAGCTCCAGACAGGGGGACAGCAGGTTGTTGTGGCTTGTTCTCTAAGGATGGCTGTGGCTGTTGGCCCCAGCGCCCAGGAGGGTCGCTGCCTGTCCCACATCCCCAGCAACACTGAGAAATGTTTTCAACTTGGTCAGTATGTTAGGAAAACAGGGTTGGGGTGAGAGTCAGCTCATTACTTTATCGGGGATGATATTCAGTTTCTTTTTGGGTGAAAATATATGCCCTGGAACAGAAGACCTCATGCTAGGGCTGAGAGGAGAAGCGGGAGCTCAGGATCCTCTATGGTAAATCCGCCTGAGCCAGGACTGAGCAATGGACCTGGGACTGTTCCAGACCCGAGGACGGATTGGGGATGTGGCCTTCAGCTTCAAAATCATGAGGACAGAAGTGCGGTAAATTATTTTGATGATTAAACACTTTTGTTTTGTTTTCCAGGAGGGTGAGGCCTCCAGAGGGGAGTCTGAGAAAAAGAGGAACCTCCGAGAACTCTCCCGGGAGCCCTCGGGGGACAGCGACGTGTTTGGTACGTGACACGCTGACTGGGAGCTGTGGTTTCATAGGACGGCCGTGTGTAAATGCACTGTCACCAGGAAGGTTTAGTTTCTCTAGTTACCTGGGTGATCTGGGTGATCTGTGAATCTGCTGTCCTTATTGACAGTGTGACTCTCGGGAGGCGAGACCTTCCTCACCTCACAATCTCTCCCGCCCTGACCACCCGGGACCCGGGATCTGAACCCATCTGTGGCTAGCTTGTTTTGTTTTATTTTGTGTGGATTTCCCTGATTTTCCACTCTGTGCGATATTTCTAGAAGCTGCTAGTTCTTGTGTGTGAGCATTCGAAAGCCAAACATTTCCCATAAAAAATCACTAACGAGGAAGTGAAATTGGCCTAAAGCCTAGATACTATGGTGGTTATTTGAACTATGAAAAAACAACTTGACTCGAGGTGCTGGGAAGTAATTGTTTCCTCTAAAACTGCATGTTCGTGGTGCCCCAGGGACAAAAGTTGCCTTTACGTGTAGTCCTCTCTGCTGCCGGGGCAGAATGGACAGGTTCTTACGTGGTTTTCATGTGAAGGTTTTTGGCTGCACTGTGGCCTCATGACAGTGACATGCAGTGTTTCACCTGGGACTCATGAGTAGGCGTTCACTCAGAGATCTGCTTCGTATTCCTGAAGCAGTGAGAACAGGGCGGGGTGAAGCCTGGGGTCCCCCTGGTCTATCCAAGGGGAACAGAGCATGACATACATACACATATGTGTAACATAAATGCCATGTAACGTGAACAAGGCCTGCAATAGGCCTTTCCCTTCATGATGAACATGGTACAAGTCCCAGGGCTCTTTCAAAGGCAGCCCTCTGTCCCCTTCTCCAAAGATACATATTCCAGTTGGAGAATTATTACCTAGAGTTGAATGTGAAAACCAACGGAAATGCAAGCATTCCAATCATATTACAAACTCAGCTTTGTCTTTTCCGGGAAGAATAAGCAGATTCTGCCTGTTTGATTTCCCTTGACTTCCCGATGCCTGGAGCTTCGAGCTGCTCACATGTCAGTGGAAGAGTGCACCCACACCTGTCATGTCACTCTACGGCACCTCCATGGCATGCACAGCCCATACTAGATTAAGGTTGAGTCACAACAGAGGGGAAATGGGAGGATCTGACGATGTCCTCCCTTCATGTGACCTTGAGCAAGATGGCCCAGATGCCTCGTGGGTTCCATCACTCTGCCCAGAAACCCTGAGCGGTGCAGACGGGGAGGCCCCGCAGAGTTGCTGGCATCTGCGTTTGAACCCGATAGTCCCTGTGCCTCCTGCTTCCCAGGAAGCCAGAGAAATCCCCATCTGCAGGGGCTGAGCTGCTGCGGGAAAGGAGCTCAATAATCCTGGCTGCCCACCTCCCTGCGTAGTCTTGAAAAATCTATGTGCGAATTTTCTTTAAATTATGGGGTGTTCCACAAACGTCACAGAGAATGACAACAGGTCCCTCCCACTTTACAAAAAAAGGCCTTTTCTTGACCAAACAGAAACCTCCTGAATGTGGTAGAGAGCCAAGCCTTCGTGATGTTCTCTGAGCCACATGGGTCATCAGCATTCCTTTCACAAAAATGTCCCAGCCCCTATGATTCATTTTGCCCCCTAGACAGGAGAATTGGGCTGTGAGAGAAAAGCAGGGGCCATTATCTATCACTGACTCATCGCTGCGGGTCACAGGCCTCCAGGTCTCAGTGTTGTACCTTCGATGGTCAGAGTCCCCTGAGAACCGAACTAGGGACCTTAGAGAGTGTGCAGCCGGGCTGAGGAGGCTGCATACGCCAACCACAGGTTTGACAGGAAGCCCAGACGTGCTTCCTCCTGGCCCTGTGAGGGCCAGCGTCCCCACTTACTCATCAATGCTCTCTAGAGTTTCGTTTACTTTTCCATTTCCTGGGAAAATCCCTCCGTAGGGTTGTTTCAGATCTAAGCAAGCGACACACCAATGCATGTTTTAAATCCCTTTCTGTGACTGGTTTTCTGACAGTGACACTCCAGGGTGGCTTTGCCTGGCTACCTGATGAGGAAGAGAACATTTTAAGGGTGTTGTCCAAGCTTTAGGGAAGCAGGTTGTTCTCTTTGGGGAAGCAGGTAGGCCCGTCACAGGTGTTTTTTGAAGCTCATACCCAACACATGACAGATACTGTTCTTGTCATTTGAAAACCAGGCAGGAAAGGCAGTGTCCTGTCTAACTCTGTCCCTCTCCAGTTCCCAGTCATGGCTCCATTCAGGTCAGTGAAGTGAATGGAAGCCTTAGGTTATGCTGACAGGAGAGAAGTCCCCAATAGAGGGCACCCCTGCTCTTTCCTGAACCCCTGGGCTCCTTCCATGGGGGACCCAGGTCTCCAGGTCAGAACTGTAAGGATGGGCTTATCCTAGTGGAGGTGCAAATGCAGGCCTACAGCATCATGGGGAAAGACACAAAGTACCGCCTCCCAGCTTCACCTGATAGCATCTTACACGGCTCAGTCCTGTGCAAAAATCAGGGCAAAATTCTACTGAAATCATTAGAAAATGCCCACCAGTTCACTGCTCAAACAATGGAGCTAGAATTACCTTGCTGGTCCTGTGGCTCCAACAACAGAACAGCCCGTGAACTGCCACCTGCATGATGGTGAAAGGGGTGCCCCTGGGCAGAGGCCCCGCTCACTGTCTACACCCAGATGCGGGGCCTCTCTCAGAAACCCGTCGAGACCTATAACAGTCTTTGTACAAACTTGGTATTTAATTATATGCATGTGCTATTTTCTTCTTTTGCTTGATTTTCTGCTTTGAGGCTCATTTTCCTGAGGATGATGAATGATATGTGCCTAGCCTGTGGCATCTGCAAGTGATGGGAGTGTTTGGGGGACACCAATTCACCCTGAATCTCTCTCCCCTTCTGTCCCTAAGACAACCTCTGCAAACTGTTGTATTCACAAGGTCCTCTACCTTGACCGTGTGTCCTGAGGCCCAAGCTCTTGACTAGTGAAAAGTTCTGTCTCTAGGCTGCTGCTGGATAGGTGATGTGCAAGCATGTGTGTGTGTGCAAGTGTGCTTGGGAGGAGTGCATGTGTGTTGCCCACATAGTATGTGTGCATGCAAGTGCTCATGTGTATAGTTGCATGTGCAATTGTGCTAACATTTGTATGGGTGTATTTGCACACATGTACTATAATAATCTTTCCACAGACAGAATATCTCTGACACTCTGTTGCTTTGTTCTTTGAATTATGAGATGCCAAGACTACTTTCACTCCAGTGTTTCCATAGGAACAGTGTCCATGGACATGGGTTGTTGTACTGGTAGTTGTTCTGAGCTGTAAACATGATTCCACATGGTGGTGAAACCAGGACCATGCTGTCCCTGTGGGTTGAGCAGTCTACTCCCCACTGAGGAGCTCCATCCTCTGAGTCCTCAAATGTACATCTCTGCCCTTCCGATGCCCGATGAGAGGACCACCTTACAAATGTCCCCAGTGACCACAGAGACGGGTGTCCTCGCAAACACCAGAGGCCCTGCCAGCATCCCTGCTCCCTGGGGCCACACTGATCTGTCATGGGGGAAGTTAATTCCTGGCTTCTGCTGGGCTTTCAATACTTTAGAAACAAAAGTCCCTTTTTCACATTCTAAAGAGAGACGGGAGTTGTCTCCAAGCAGGACTCACACAAGCTCTTAGCACCTTCCCTGTCTCCACAGGTGAGATCAGGTGAGGAGGGGGTGCCCAGCCCAGGAAAGAAGCTGGGCGGTGGGCAATATGGCTGTGTGCTGGCAGAGAGGGCCCTGTGCCAGGAGGTGGGAGGGGGGGCTCGCCTGCTGTGTCCCAGGTTGGCAGAGCACATGCTGTCCCACTGGGTCTTGGACCAGATGAAGCTATGGTCCAAAGGAGGCCATTTCCAGGGTGGTGACTCAGCAGTGCGCTCTGGCAGAGAGGAGCCCACTGCTGCCTGCCCTGTATGCCCACCCACAGGTCCTGGCCTTCAAAATGACATATGCCCTAGGGGTCACTTAAGGCCAACAGAGCCACAATGGGACAGCTGAGCAACCTCCAGAACAAAGCAATACAGACCTCACTAAGGCACAAGTGGCAGCTGTGATGGGAGTGGCTGGAGGGCAGTGGCCTGTCCCAGCTTGAGACCCAGTGAAAGCACCCACATTAGGTTTCCATCAGAAAAGTTACTATTTCTAATCTCATCTAACACCCAATGGAATTTGTCGTGTGGACTTGGGAGCTGCAGTGTGGCTGTGGGACTCTCTCCTTCCTATTCCTCAGCCACCATGTCCCCTGGGCTGGTCAGTGGCCAAGGGAAGGACAATCCCTGCAGAGGGCCCGGCCCCAGGCAGGCGGCTCTCCTCATACCTCTCCCAGATGAATCCCCACTTCCACCTCCTGCACTTTCGGAGGGGCCATAACCCATAAGGAATTGGAATAAGTGAATTTGCTTCTCCAATGAATCCTTGAGTTGGTGAGCCACACCTCTCCTTCTTCTAAGAGCTTCACCATCAATATTTGCTAACCTGAAGAATCAAGTTTTTTAAAAGAAAAATAAGCCCTGGCCAGTATGACCAGGTTGGGCATCTTTCCATGCACTGAAAAGCTGTCCATTCAATTCCTGGTCAGGGCACACACCTAGGTTACAGGTTTGATCCCTGGTGGGGGCACATACAGGAGGCAACCAATCAATGTTTCTCTGTGTGTGTGTCTCTCCCACCCCTTCTCATCCCCTCTCTCTAAAATGAGTCAAACATATCCTCACATGAGGATTTGAAAAATTAAAATAAGACAATCCTCAGCTCTGATTCTGGCTGAATACAGCCCTGCTCACATACCTGCCCCAAGATGCATGGGGGTCGCACCTGCCTTCAGAGATCAAAGGCTTTGGTGAGAATCAGGTCCCTGACTCTGCCTGTGTCACTGCTGAGCCATCATAGTGTCACCACACTCCTTCAGTGCTGCTGGGCTCTGATTCCCCACACCTGCTTGGCAGGTGACCTCGCAGCTCCTGAG